TCGATCGTCTGGAAAATTTAAAAACATTTTTTATGCCAAAGTTTAATTGATCATAACTTCGTTCAAAATCGTTCAATACAAATGATTTTGGTATTAAACGACTCATCTCGTTCAGGAGCATCGAAATAGCTTATAATCTCATTTTTGAAAATTTTACACAAAAATTTTATTTTTATCAAAATTATTTTAATTTATCATTCAGAGACCGTATCTCATTCAATTTTTGTCATAGCCCCATGATTTTTATGTCATTCGAATCAGAATGAAGAGCTGATTCGAATGATATAAACATTTCCAATATTAAAATCTCAGCCTTGAATCTAGGCCAATTTTTATCCAAAAAATTCTGCTCAAACTTTGAGGGAAGTTTACTCAGAGTAAACTTAAAATTAAAAAGCAATTTTGGTATCAGCAAGTTTCCTAAAGTGTTGGGAATAAAACAAAAAAAGAATTATCAATTTTCATTAAAATTGAAGAAAGTTATGGTTAAAAACAAATGCGCGCTTAATTTGCCGCACCCTGTACTTGTTTCCCCAACAGTATACCGTCTCTTCTTTCTTTTATTTAATTTAAACTTTTCTTTACAAAAATAATTTTTTGAAATTAAATTAATTTTATCTCGAATCCAAAATGTTGATTTATGTGATTTTAAATATTTTAAAGTTAATTCTAACGCAAATTCAGATTCACTGATTCCTTCTACATTTCCACAAAAAAGGAAAACTTTAAAAATTAATTTAATATTAATTTAATTTAAAATAAACCTTTAATAAAATTAAATAACAAAAGAAGAATTAATGTTTTTAATCGCATAATACAATATTTTTTAAAATTATTTTCTGTAAGAGTATTCAAATATCCAATGTTAAAATAAAAATATTAATGTAAAATTTCGGAAAAATTGAAACAAAATTTACAAATTAGTTGGGTTACAACCAGGGTCCTAGAAAATCAGGAATGAAGCAATAGAAATGGACAAGCATTAAATTAATTTCAACAGTTAATTTCAACACTTATATGTCCATTTAATGATTCTGCCACGAAAATGAAGTTGAGAGAATACTAATAACTTAAATTAAATTTCGCTTAACATTTTTTCTAATTTTCTTTAAAACAATAACTCTTTAGCCTTCTTTGTTTAATAAAAGTGTTTTTTGAAAATAAATACTATTGTTAATTGCTTTTAATTAAAAATAGAGAAAATAATTATGAAAATTAAATCATTAATAATAATTCTCTTAAGAGATAAAAAATTAAATATTTACTCAATTATAAATTATGAAATGAAAATGGCGGCATTTCCTTAAGAAAGTACTTTCATACATATAAAAAATTATTATTTGTTTACTTATTTTAAATTTATTTGGAAATTGATTTAATGAAATTTTTGAGAAAATATTTTAATTTCAAAATATTTTTTATAATTAAGAATTTTTTGAAACAATTTCTTAAATTTTCTCTTTCTGCTAACATTTCCCGTCTTTATCAAAATTCACTATTATTCTATCCGATTTAATATTCTCCAATTCCCTTATAATTCCACCCTTTCTAAATAAAATTCGAAAGTATTGAGGCAACTTTTTCTTCTTCATGATAATGGTTAAATTACATAAAGTAAACATAAGTTTATTAAAAATAACAAGGGCAAAATTATGAAATTATTTCAAATTTTATTTTTAAATAAATAAAATATAGACAAAATCTATATTAGGTTGCTTGTAATTTAACAGTAACGGATTCATGGTCGGTATTCTATTTGCTAGATTATTAATGATTGTTATGTCCTATGTTTTCAATAATATGAGCGAAATGAACATTGATATGTATATTGGAATTATTCATAAAAGATTTTTATTTCATAATATTTTTATAAAATCAAGTAATTTTGTGACTGTCATAATTTTTATAATAAAATGTAAAGGATATAGCTATTTAATTCCTAAGGCTGTGCAGTAGGCGGCGTGGTGTAATGGCTAACACATCAGTCCGGTCTACTGAAGATGCTGGTTGCTTCCATCCGCTAAATAACCTTTTTCATAGCTAAAGGAGAGAAATAGCTCTAGCACAGCTGCTTTACTATAATAAGCTTTTCATTAAAAAGTTGTAAAGTTGATTTAAATTAAAACTTTTTAAAACTTAAAATTCTTTAAAAAAATCCAATTTTTTCAAAAATGATTAAATCAACATTTATTTGAATGAATAAGGCAACATATTTGATTAAAAAATTTTGCCTTATTCTGTAAATATTAATTCAAAAATTATACGATTATTACAATCATTTAAACAATAAAAAAATAATTTTAAGTGAATTATCTTTGTCAATTAATATTTTTAATTAATAATTTTTAAACAAAAAGGTGAAAATTGACATTATTTAATTATATTTTAATAGCAGGTGAATCGTTTAATATCGGCAAATGTTTAAAAGTTTGTATATTAAAGTAATATTCTCATTTAAAAAATTAGAAAGTTTATTTGTGGATTACAAGTCATTATTTAATTAAGGCTTTTCAAAACCCCCAATTACTCCGATTTATTCAGCAAACATATTTTGTTAATTTAATGCATAAAAGGGTTATTGGACACTAATAATACATACAATAGTTTATAAATGTTCTTGAATCCCCAAAGAATAATTAAAAATATTTATCAAAATTATAACTTGGCTGTTAATTGTAAGAATAAATAAAACAACTTATTCAAAAAAATTTGCCTTTTTCATTTAAATATTAATTACCAATTAATTTATGTATAAAAAATATAATGTTGAATTTTAAAATACTTATACTAATTTCTATAATTTAATATTTAAACAAAAGGTGAAAAATAAAATTTCTTAATTTAAAATTAATAAAAGTTAAAGCAACTTATTAATTGAATGTGTATTTCTATAGGGTAAAATAATTTTTATCTCTATATCTCGCACTCTTTTTTTAACAAATAATATTTTAAAGATTAACATTATTTAACAAACCAAAAAGCTTTAAATATAAAAATATAAATTCTTTACAAATTTCAATGGACTTGTATTTCTTTCATCATGATGAATACGAGCGACTTTACAATTGTAGTTTATACAGTGTTGACCAAATCCCTTTAGAGAAACGTCAACATAAAATACTTGGAATTTTCTTCATTATTTTATCTACAATATATGAGGTGTGTAAATAATATTTGACGTCTTCGTTAAAAAATATTTTTCGAAAAATCATTGATGAAGCAGTGAATGTGTGGATTTATTAGGCGCATAACGAGTAACAGCCTATTAATAAAATACCTAGGAGCTTAAAATATTAATAATTAAAATTAACTAGATACTCTATATTCCTTGTATGTTTTCAATTTGGAATCGTATGACAAATAGTCATTGTTATAAAATTATGTTCTTTATTGGAGTTATAGATATGGCTACAATTTTATGTAATGGATTCTTAACTGGATATCTGGGATATTTTGGATATGTTTTTTGTTCCTCACCAAAATTTATTTATTTTGCTGGGGCATATGCATTATGTACATATTTAAAAATTAAATTCTTTTTAAATTTTAAATAACAATAACATTATCATTAACCATTATTCATGCATACGATTTCGTGGCAATAGTTTATTAAGTCATTGTCTATCTTTGAGAATATTTCCAATTAAGACTGGATAGTCAAATTTTTGACTTAATATGTATAGATGACCTTTAAAGATGCAATAAAAATTTTTTTAAAGAATTAGCAATAAATCGTCTGACTGAAACTGAAATATCACTGTAGCTGCTATTTAAAATTTAAAAACTATTAAATAATAAAAACATAATGGGTCATACAATAATTTTCAGTCTGCTGGATGAGTGAAACCTTGCTTGAGGTATTTTTAGCCATAAATTGTCTGACTGAACTTATATCTTCTGAATTGGCAGCAAAATTATTTGATGGTAGGGATGTTTAAATCCTGATAATTATTCTTAAATTGATCCTTAATCAAAAACTATCTTTGGATTTTTTCAGAGTGACGTCTTGTATTTAAAAAATTAGATGATAATTAGACTTGTAAATTATATCCGGAAACCAATTAGTAAATTACTTAAAAAAATTCTCATCAGAAAAAGCAAAAAACTAGTTCTTTGTTAATTTTAAATTCTTTGTTATAAAAAATTCTTTAGGTTTTGTAAATTTCGGACAATATTCTCGTGTCTAAGTTTGATAACGAAAACTATGGAAAAATCAAACGGATATGTCCGAGGCTTTTCATTAGTTTTTAACAATTTAAATATTGTATAAAATTAATTATAGGCAAAAAGATTATTATCTGGCTGAGTATTTCAATCATTTATGGGTTATCAAATATTTTTTGGACAACTATGCCGCTATTCACTGGCATGTATTTCAGCTGGTTCTTCAATCCACACGTTGCATATCTTGATAATCAAGTATTATTTTTCCATAATTAATTTATTATTTTTAACATTAAACTATTTTCAATTTCTGAATTTTTAAGGTTTTATAATTTCTTATGAATACTAGGCTGGGACACGCAAAATAACCAAATATTAGGTTATATATGCGTCTTATAATTATAAAATAGATACCAAAATATGCAAAATTTCTCAAAATATGCATATTCTAAATTTTATCAAAAAAAGTTTAATTTAAGCAATAACTAAAGTAATTATATTTCGCTTCCTAGAATTTTTTGCGAAGAAATTCATGAGACACAAATTGTTTACAAATTCAAATAATTGTTTAAAAAATTATTATTTCACCAAAAGATAATTTATCAACTACAAATTTCCAAATTTTCCCAAAATATGCGCGGAGTTACAGAATATGCAAAAATAAACATTAAGCCCCGGATCCTAAAGTGCCCGAACCAATGTAAAAAACCATTTTTGAGCTTCTCTCATCGTGACATATCTGCATACAAAATATGTATGCATTTGCATGTTTAAACAGCCCTAATGTTTACATTTAAATTTAGCATTATGATAATATTCCCCATTCAATCCACAATATGTCAATCATTGTTTTGTTGCTACTCAGTTATTTAGCATTTTGTATTATTTTTATTTTGCAATCAAATCAAGGAGGTCTCCAATCCAATCAGCAAAGTTATTCTGAAAAAATGGTTTTTAATATCTCCAAAATTAATTAAAAATCTTCAATTTCAGATTTTTCTTCAAGTTGTTTTAATTAGTTTATTCAATGCATTAGCAGCTTCAATTTATGTTTTTATGCAGTATATCCATATTAATGAAGTGATTATAATAATTGGCCAACTTTGTTGGTTAAATGCACACGGTGGGGGAATACAGTCAAATCTCCGTATAAAATACACCCTCAAAACTAAATATCGAGGATGTTGTTTATCCACTTAGTGTCAAACCAAATTATGAACAAAATAATTTAAATAAGGATCGAGCATTATTTTTGAATCTAAAGAAATTCTTGATTGTTCCACCTTTAAATTAGTTTGTGTGAGTAGCCATTGGTAAACCAGAATACATACATATACTTATTTCTAGCATACAAGTATAGGTATTTATTTTCGTCTTGTTATAATCGGTCTAAAACTTCCAGTTCATTAACCACAGTACAATTATTTTAAAAAATTAAATACCTAAATAATCACATTCAATTTAAGAAATTCTCCCAGTCATTTACTTAACAATGAACAAATCAATCCAATGTGACTGTTTAAGAATGTTAAAAAACATCTTCAAAAAAACTTCTGTCCATCCATTACAATCTAATACCATCCAGGCATCTAATACTATTGAGTTTAATATGCCCGTATTAAAACGATATGAGGTTGATTTCAATCGAGGCGTTAAGATATGTGAAGAAGAATGAGAATATTTTTGTATGATTGAATGAACAATTAAATTTTTTTGTATATGTAGTTTTATACCCCACATCAATTGTATACCCCTCATCAATTAAATTTCAATTGAATAAAGTGAAAAATTATTCAAATAAATTTATGTAAACAGTTTTGCTTGGAAAAATCAGTTGAGGGTTTCATTGGAAACAGGGGTGGTATAAGGAGGCAAGCAATCTTCTAGAAATCGTATTCTAGTACAAAAGCAAATTTTTTGGATAAGATATAAAATGAGGAACCCTAGCCTTCAAAGTTCCCTAAAGTCTAAATTTATTCCCAATCATTATCTTGATAAGTTTTGTCAATTGTTTATCTAATTCATTGGCCACCCCCGCATTTTTGTTTTGTCCTCAATCTTTATGTATAACAGCTGTCAGTTGAGAAGTAATAAGTTAGAAGAGATATTTATTTTGCTTTACTTCAGCCATGTATTTGTCTTTTCTTATTTCCTCATTCTGTTATTTAAACTCAAGTAAATATCCCAACACTTTCCTGTGAAACTAGATTATATTTTATGCCATTTAACTCATTAACAAATCAATCGTTAGGAATATTTTCTAATTTATAAGATCTAATTTATAAATGTCAGATTCGAATGATAACACCTTATTATAAGCAAAATCTATAGAGAATTTAATTTTTTATCTAATGATCAGTAAAAACAAATAATCAAACCAATGAAGTAAGCCTTTCAGTAAAGTTACTCAAAATCACTTTTTGCTTCCTTCCAGCAGACATATCGACTTGAAATATCGCTAAAGAAGCAGCTTTAGCTAGGGCCAAGGAAACAAAAGGAAAGTAAAGGATTTACGAAAATATACGATTTCTTTTACTTCTTTGAGTTAAAAGTGATTATATATTACAAAGACCCTAACACATTTTATATTCTCTTAAGCAAAATATATTCTCTGTCACATACCGATTTAAACATCCGATCTATAAGATTAAGTTTCTAAATAGTTTACTTAAAATATATTTTAAGATCGATATAATCTCTCTAATTTTTTAAACTAAAATTTCAAAATTCTCTTTCACAAAAATCTATCTCTCACTTACGGTTCTAGGCTGTCAAAAAATTTGAAAGTTTCAATTTACTTGCTCCAGAAACCGGTTTTTGCAACTTAGATTGTGTCAGAATTTGAAATTATATTTTCTATGGATCCGATAATATTTTATTTAAAATATAAATTTAAAATTTTTTAGTAACGGGTGTCTATTAATTTGACTCCTAATTGATTTCTAATTAAATTTTTGATTAATTTTCATTTGAATTATAATAATTTATAAATGGTAAGTAAATTTTTAATAATTCTCACCTATATTTTAAAAATATTTTTGAGTATCTTTTTTTGAATTAATAAAAATTATAACCTTATTTCGGGTTGTATTCCATCGTAGTTTTAAGCAATTGACAGAATTGAAAAGTCAATCAATGTCTTTTAGGATATTTAATTAGAAAAATTTTTTATTAGGCTTCGTTTTAGGAACAATAGCATTAAACTTGTTCCTTAGAACAAGTTTTATCAAAAATAAAATTTCTTTAAGGCATCCGGAGTTAAAGTTGATGCTGCTTGCAAACAAGCATATGATGATTTACATAATAAACACCTCCATTCATATCTTATTTTTCGAATTTCTGATGATGATACAACTATAATTGTTGAGAAAAAGGGAGAGAAAAATGCACCATATTCCGAATTTGTTAAGGTAAAGGAAATTTTTTGACGGTTTTGATATTCGGGTTAACATTTTGCAAAATTACTGAATGGTTATGATTTTAAGTCTTGATTTTGGTTACTAAAAAGCAATATATTTCGTGATTATCACGATGTCAGAAATCCTTAAATCAATTTTATAATCTTTAATGTCCAAATCCTTCTATGTGTTCTAAATTTATTTAATTAATTTAGGAAATGAAAAGTTTAGTTGGAGATGGAAAGCAATGCAGATACGCATCAGTTGATGTCCAAGTAGAAGTTCAGCGACAAGGAGCTGAAGGGATATCACGCATTTCGAAAGTTATATTCGTTCAATAGTAATTATTTTTATTTTAAGGAATGATTAAAAAATAAGTATTTTCTGAAATAAGGACAAAAGATTATTTCGTATTTTCCCATAATCATTTTACTGCATTCTATCTTTATTGTAGACATTTTGACTTAAGAAATTTCCAATTTTTTGAAAAATACCGTTCTATACAAATTTCAAATTATTTTATATTATTTAGTTGTCCAGATGAAGCTCCAGTTCGTCGTCGTATGCTTTACGCTTCTTCTGTTTGTAATTATATTTAAAAACCAAGCTAATAAATTTATTTAAAAAATTTATTTTTTTGGAAAATTAAATATACAGGGTGGGGCAAAAGTTCGGCGACAAATTTTATTTTGTCCTATTTTAAAATTTACTTTATATTTTGCATTTTGTTTAGTTTTCCCATATTCTATGATTCGCGCTCTACAAATTTTATCTTGAAAATTTTCTCCTATCTCATAAAGTAAAAATTTTACGGAATGTTAAAAAATTGTGCTTCTATTATTTCTTTGTATTTTAAAAAATGGGCGAAAATGTGCATCGCTAGACGGCTCGATATCTGTCGTATGTTGGTTTCCAAAGCAATAAAACGATATCATGAGCTTGGAAATACTCAGGACCGTCTAGTAGTGGCCGGTCGGTAACCGAAGTTACGCCTGAAAACATGAACGGACGTCAGTTGCCGAATTTTCCGTTTTTCTGAACAATTGATGTGAAAAACGGCCTCAGATCTCGGAATGAGCTCGAGGAGCCTCCTAAAAATTGTCAGAGTGAAGCTAAGACTTTGGAGTTACAAGATCAGCCGCTCATTTTTCCTTAGCAATCGAATGAAGCATAAGAGACTTCAAAAATGTCGAAGGATTAAACGCCTGGTCGCAGCTGGTCGCCATAACAGAGTGATGACTATAAAAATTAATGCTACAGTCTAAAAAATGACATTCTGAGGGCGATTGAGCATCCATGGCATTATAGCTTCACGGAGAAAACCAATTCTCGCTTCAGCAGGATTGGGTACCTGCGCATGGAGCCAAAACGACGCATGGAGCCAAAACGAACGGTCATTTTGAGAAATTACTTTAATAAAATCATTATTATATCCCATTGATTATATTTTATCATTTTTTAATCTTAAATAAAATTTTTTTACAATAGATTTTATTAAAAACATTTGTCGCCGAACTTTTGCCCCACCCTGTATATCATTTTTTAATCTCAAAATGGACTTGAAATAAAGAAATTCCTTTTAAATTATTTTTCCTTTGTTCAGGTGCGTGCACTTAAGGCTACATTAGGATTAGAAAGTCTTTTGCAGATTCAGGCTTCTGAACTTTCTGATATTGACGAGAAGGTGATTAAACATGAGGTAAATTTTAAATATTTATATCAAATAAGATAGGCGAGGGGGAAAATAGTCTAGGGTACTCAACCTCTCTCTGATTAAAAAGAAGATGATTCGAATATAAAAATAAAAATGTTAATAAATTTGTTTCAATACACTGTAAAGGTATGATATTTTTCAATAAGCGGCAATTACTTGACCCATTTTTTTCATAAAAAAGCTTTGTCCTCGTAAGATGTGCAAATTTCAGCATTTTGTACCTCAAATGAAGTCTTTACTAGAAAATGAAGTTTTTACTCAAAAAAATTTTGACCTTGGTACCTTGACCAGATTCTTTACCTTGAGTCAAAGAAAAATCAAGGTAAAGGAAAAAGCAAGGAACTCTGAAAAATGCCATGATCTGGACTTTGGATCCAAGAAAAATCAAAGTCTGGATCTAGATCCAGCTCGCTATCTAGTCTTTAGCTAAATTATATATTGTCTTCCTAGTATGCTCAAATTGACATCTTGTAGTTTATGTAATTTCCCCCAATGGTTTTTAAATAGTCAAAAAGTCTCTTTCTAGGTAGTCTAATTGAATACCATGATTTTAGAAATTACTTTTGTATATTGTCGAACTTGTTTTTCTAGGTAATGTCATCACAACGTGCCTGAATTAAAAGTGAAAAAAGAGAAAAGAAACTCAAAAATTAATCAAGCAATTATTTTTAAAATATTTTTTTGGAGATTGCCAACAAAATGCCTTTTATAAAATATACACTTAATTAAGTGATTTTGTCAAAATTTCAAATATATTTTGAGATAAATAATTTGTAAGGCTCAGAATTTAAATAATAAAATTTTGTATTAAAAATTATTATAGTATAATTACCTATCCTAACCATTTTAAATATTTCCCATTTAAATGGAAAAAGGAATTTAAAAAAATAAAGTGATCTTCTTTTAGAAATACAACATAATTTTAAAGAATTGAGAGATTTTTGCTAACGCTTTTAACATTCAAATCAAAATTTTCATAGAGGAACCAGGAAATTCCTAAACTAAACAATTTAACTGATTTTAAATTATTTTAGCATTTAGACCTTTATGCTATCATATTTAATTTTAAATTGCTAGTCTTGCTAGTGCATTTTTAAGTATTTTTCGGGTTTTCCATACCCCCCAACCAAGGGAGGACTAAAATCATCACTAAAACTATATAACACTGATAGGTCATCTAAATCTCATCTGTCATTTTTCTTAAACAAAATTAAATTTAAAATTTATTTTTTAAATAAAATTAAAATTTGTGAATATAAAAATATATTTAGTAAATTTCTTTTATCATCCTTTCATCAATTTATTTAATTTAAGGAATATTATCACAAGGATTGCAGAAGAATCCAGGGAAGAATTGAGCTTCAGCTTGTTGTCCATTTAATATAGCTATTATAAATAGAATTAAAAGAACAATGAAAATGCTTGAAATTTGGTTATTTGGCTGCATTTTGTTAATTTTTAATTAATTAAAAATATTTAATTAAATTTCAATTTTTTATTCTAAAATTAAAAAAATATTGTACAGCTTTAAAATTTTAACGTAAATTTATTTTTAAAACAAAATTTAGTTATTTTGCATTATGTGGCCCGCAGTCTGTAAATTTTTATTTTAATATACCGTATATACTCTATTAATTACCCTCTATCAAATAATTACCCCACCTCTATTAGTTAACCCTTCTAGCTAAAGGTTGAAACAATAATTACCCCTTAGAAAAACTTATCTTACTAAACAACCTCTTAATTACACGCCTCTATCAATTACAACTCCAGAGAGAGGTCGAAACAATGATTACCCAAGGTAATTAATATAGTATATACAGCATAGTAAATGTTTCAAAGAAAGCCCTTCCTTAATAAAAACCCAGGCCCTAGTACGAAGAAGTCCACTAAATGATACTCATTGAAAGAAGTATAGGGCTTCTATTGGAACATTTAAGGCTTATATTAGAAATCATCAGAAGGATTATAACTAATATATTATGAAAATATTTTAATTATAATCTTAGATATAATTAATAAGTAAAAAATTTTTCCAAAGTAAATTTTTAAAATAAAGAAACATTTTAGAAGGAAAGGAGACAAATTAAAGTGTTTAATATTTTTGGCTAAGATGTTTGACTTTTAAAGTAAAAATCAGCAGAAAAAAGAAATAAAAAATTTTCGTTCCAATTAAATTAAAACTTGTTTTAATTAATTAAATTGAGAGGGAGAGGAAGGGAGGGGGGAGAGGAAAGAGTAATTACAGGGAAATAAAAATAAAAAAAATTTGATTTATTAATTTTGATTCAGTTTGGAGTAAATAAGACTATAAAAATAAAACTATAAATTTGGAGACTATAAAAATAAATATACCTAAATCAAAAATATATTTTTAAATAACTTGATTGACGTAATAACCTCTTGAACTTTTGAATTAGTAATACATTTTAGGTAATAAAAAATAAGGGGTCGCTTGAATGTCTTAATTGTTTGGGCGCCACCCAAATTAATCTTATTAATTAAAAAATGTTCTGATATTCTTTATCCTTTTGGTAATCCTCGTTAAAAGTGAGGGGGTTGACCTTTGGGGTCGGGGTTGACTTTTTCAAAAATTAAAATTTATAAAGACAGGCAGGGAACGAAACGCGCATTTACCGAGTGTGCTAAAAATAAAACTCGAATATTATCTTAATTAAAGTTTAACTAAGAACTGCAACAAAATTAATTGTTTTTAATCATCTTTTCGGATCTATTTAAATTATATTCTTTTTAATCTTTAAAATGGAAAAATAAGTATATATTTATTTATGTAAGGAAAATAAATATTCTGAATTTACACTGGAGGCTAGGTAATAAAGCAGTTCTGTTATCTGAAAATAAATTTTTATTTTAGAACACCCAGTAATGCTAGAGGAACTTTGGGCTGAAAAAGGCGAAAAATTGTATGATTAAACATTTTTAAAAGTTAATTAATTTTAAATGTTATTCTTTAAGCTGCTCTAAGTCCATTACACAATGATGGATTTATTAGAGCAAGAAATATTAATTTAAATAGAGAAGGGAATTTTCCAATGTTTTTACTCAAAAAATATACAATATTTGAAAAATTTTCGGCATTTATTTAATATATTATATAAAAGTATTGGTAAAATTTGTCGGAAAAATTAAAGCTCTTTCCAGAGTATAGATACGGGCATGCAAGTTTGACATGTCCGGGGTCAAATTTTATGCCGCACCTAGGAAAATTATGGACGGAAGATTTTGGAACCCCCATGGTACCTAAATAATATAGGTGCCGGGGCTATCTCGGGACTGAGTGGACTTAGAGGAAAATTTCTGCTGGTAGGATTTTAAGTTGGACCAAGCTAATATATGTAGGAAAAAATTCGAAGTCAAAATTCGAATTTGGAGGGTACTTATTGGGGGGCAAAAATTCAGACATTTCCGGTGAATTGTCGTGGGTGTCGGGATTTAAAATTCGGCTTTTTTGAAATTAACTCGAAAATGGATAAAGATATCGGAAAATTTCTGCTGGGAGGCACTCAAGTTGGAACAGGTAGATATGGGTAGGAAAAATCTCAAAGTCGAAATTCTAACTTGGGGGTACTTATGGGGGGGGCAAAAATTTTTGTAAGAAAATTGTCTTACCGATAATTGTCGGATTTCTCTAAATTGAGGAAATCCTAAGGGCAAATCTCATAGGTGAGAGAGAAATTTTGATTGATGGGAAGAAATTTCGAGTTTAAATTTTTGGATTTCGAAACTTAAGCAAGTTTCGAGTTGAGTGAAGGTTAGTTGGGGGGAATTATATGGGGATTTCGAAATTAGGGATCCGGGATTTCGGGATTTTTAGGGATTTTCGAATATGGTCGAATGAGTAGTCATTCGAAAGCGAATAATGAG